TTTTTGTGTTGTGACTGACTTGGTTGTTAGCTAGGTTGATGTGCTCTTTCTGTCCCTGACCTGAAGGTATAATTTAGCAATAAGAAATTCACAGGTTCAATGTTAGACCAGTTGTTTTCTATAAATAGTGGGAGTTGGGAGGGTAGGGTAATAGTCAGTAGGCTAAATATAGAAACTTGGTTAATTGGTAAAGGTGCACTAAAAGGAGGGGTTGATGGAAAGGGGGGTTGTGTAGGGAGAAGAGGTATGGGGGCTGCTAGGGTCTGTGGCCCTTGTGTGTGTTTGAGTGTATTTCTGTTGTTGTAGTGGAGGGTGCTTTATGTCAGGGTTGCAGGGCCTGGGGGTGTGTACAGTTGGTACAGTAGGCTAGTCAATGGGTAGTGAGTGTGTAGAAGGGAGGTGTAATGTGGTGAGAGGTTGGGGAGGTGAACACTGGGAGAGAGTGGATGAGAAGGGGCAGAAAGAATCATTGGGAGGAAGAACAATGGATTGTAGCACAGGGCAAGGAGGGAAAGTGAAGGGGGTAAGAATAGGGATAAGAAAATAGCGATGGTAAAGTTAATACAGAAGAAAAAAAACACCAGGTACCACAACTAAAAGGTCGGTCAGTTTGGTAAAAGGTGTGGAGTTATTCCTTTGACGTCCAATCCTGCTATTGGTATACAAGCAGGAGCTCTGATGTCGTCTCACCAGATGACTGCCTTGTGAGTAGTATTCGGTTCCTTCTGTCCACAGGGTAAGTTGTGATTGGGAGCTGAGGTAACTCACTGCCAGTTCATGCAGGGTGTCAGAGCTGTTGTTGTTTTTACCAGGTGGCAGCAGCATTGCCCTACAAGTGCAACTCTTTTTGGTTGGCTGTTCCCCCAGCTAGCTGGAACAATTCAGTTTTGATTACTGCCCTCTGTCCCACAAGACCAGCTCTGGGATGTATCACCTGCCCTGCTTTGTGAGGTTGGCTTGTCACCTCACCCCCACTCTCAACCTTTGTGCCTCTCCTGACCTCTGGTGCTAATTTGTCTTCTCTGGGAGGTTGGCTTGTCACCCCACCCCTGCTCTAGGCCTTTGTTGATTTTTCCCATGTTCATTCACTGAGAGTTCAGCTCCTTGCCCCCCCCCCCCCCAGTTCTCTGTTTCACCTCTACCTATGCTGTTGGTGTTAGATTACAATTCACTGTTTATGCTTTTCAGTTTTGTGGGAAGGGGGATTTGATCTGCTCAGGGTCTGTGCTGGATTAAGTTCCCCTAACTGGTAGGAGAAATCGCACATGATGTGTGATGCTCACCTGTTCGTTCTGCAGATTCACACAAGTAGCTTTGGAGCTGGCCAGTGGGGAGAATGGCGTGCCACTTCTCTCTGCATAGCACAATGTAGGAAGGCTTCCCATGGGTTGGGGTCCAGGATGTCACAGAGTTCAGTTCTGGTTGATGGTATATCTTCTGCTTGTTGAGAGAAAGAAAAAAAAAAAAAAAAAAGAAACACACTGGGGGCTTTTTTCCCAGGGCAGGACATTCCTTGCTGGCTGTGCTGCCTGGGATTTTCCTGGCTGTTAGGTTCAATTAAAAGCTGTTTTAAGGGTCAGTCCTTGAATTTTATGTGCACCTGATATTGGCAGGTTAATATTTTGGCTAGAAGCAATCAGAATTACCCAAGGGTAGCTCTGATGTCTCAAGGTGTTTTCTGGAGTCACAGAGTTTAGGATTTCTGATTCTCTACCCCTATTTGCCATCTTGGATCTCTGCTGATTTATTCATTGATGGAGATGAATTGTTTCTGTCTTTTTGTAATATGAATAGTGTTTCTATAACATTCACTTATAAGTTTTGATAAGAACATATATTTTCATTTCTCTTGGAGAGCTATATATATACCCAAAAGGGGAATTGCTGAGTATATGCTGTTATCATTAGATAACAATGACTAATCATTTGAGGAACTTTCAAACAACTACTCCATTTTTACATTCCCACCAGAGTTTTTGAGGGTTCTATCTTCTCTAGTACCTCACCAACATTTGTTACCTGACATTTTGATTATAGCCCTCCTAGAGTATGAAGCATTATCTTATTTTCCTTGTGTTATGTATTACTTTTGTGACTAATGTTGAACATCTTTTCATGTGCTTGTTATCTAGTTATGTTTCTTCCTTGGAGAAATGTCTGTCCAGATCCTACCTTGGGTTTTAATTATGTTGTCCCTTTATTTTTTAATCATAAGAGTTCTTTATGTATTCTAGATGTATATCCCTTATCAGATACATGATTTGTAAATATTTTATCCCATTCTTTGTGTTGTCTTTTTATGATGATATCCTTTTTCTTGATGATATCCTTCAAAGTACAAAAGTAAGTCTAATTTATATGTTTTAACTTTTGGTGCTCATGTTTTTGATATCACTTAAATAATCCTTTGCTAAGTCCAAGGTCATGAAGATCTACCTATATGTGTTTTATTCTAAGGACTTTATAGTTTTAGCTTTTACATTTAGGTAAATGGTGTATGTGGTGTGAGGTAAGGGTCCAACTTCATTTCTTTCCATGTGGATAATCACAGCACTATCTGTTGAAATGATTATCCTTTTCACATTAAGTGGTCTTAGTATTCTTACCAAAAGCAGTTCACCATAGATTTATAGTTCTATATCTGGACTCTATAATATTCTATTGGTCTGTATATTTATCCTTGTGATGTACTAATCTGTCTTGATTACTGTTGATTTGTAGTAAGTTTTGAAATTGGGAAATTTGAGTCCCTAATTTTGGGGGTTTTGTTGGTGGTGTTTTGTTTTTGTTTTTTTCAGAATCATGTTGACTGGTTCCATTATAACTCCATTTGAATTTTAGAATTATCTTGGAAATTTCTGCAAAGAAGTGACCTGGTATTCTGATAGGAATTGCATTGAATCTGTAAATTGGTTTAAGGAGTATTACCATCTTAATAATAAGTTTTCAATCTATAACACGGGGTGTTTTCCATTTATTTAGATCTTTAATTTTATTACATTGCTTTCTAGTTTTCAGAGTGTAAGTTTTCCTTTTCTTTGGTTACATTTATTCCTAAGTATTTTATTTTTGTGCTAATATGATTAGAATTTTTTTCTTTTTAAATTTGGATAGATATACTTAATTTTGTAATTCTGTATTTACTAATAAACCAATGTATTTTTATAGGTACCTGTGTTTGTTTCTTACAATGACACATTTGCTTATACCTTTGCATGTACACAATTACATAAAACTTACATGAATGGTTTTTCTTCTATTTGGTGTGGCAAAAGTAGGTAGACTGGTGGCTAGAGCCACATGACTGTACTTGAATATTCGATGTGCATCATATATATGTTGATGTTTGTGCTAGAATTACTAATTTTTATTTTCAGTTTATTTACCTCAAGAATATAAAATCCAACTTTTAAAGTTTTTATCCTAAAATCTTACTAAACTCCTTTATTAGTTTTGTTATTTATGGATTTCCTAGAAGAAACTAAAATACAGTTCAGTTAGGGACTTTAAAAGTTTGAGATGGCTGTGGAATCCAAGTGGATATATCAAATATATAGGTAAGTATATGAATCTGGGACTCAGAAGAGAACTAATTGCTTGAAATGTAAATTTAAGAGTATGAAGATGGTACTAAAAGCCACAAGGAGAGAGGAGATCACCTAGAAAGAGAATATAGATTGAGAACATACTCTGGATTTGGCTATACATGGAGGTCATTGATCTTATTAGTAAAAGCAGTTTTAGTCCAGTGGTGCGTCTATTCTCAGGAGTAATTTGAAGAGAGAATTGGGGTGGGAGAAGAGATAAAAAATAGGAAAATATATTTTGACTGTGAAAAATGGATCACTACCTGGAAGAGGATATAAGTGTTCTCTAAAGATACTGTGTAATACATAATGCTCTCACACTTTTGAAAATGACCCACTAAAAAGGGACAGCCTAAAATTATAAGAGATAATAAAGAAAAGAGCCATGGTCTCAAAGGGAAGATGAATGGGGCTCTAGAGAATTTAAAAGTAGGGTTTTTGATTGTGTCTTAGTTCATTCCTGATGCTATAACAAAATACCACAGAAGTTTATTTCTCATGGCTCTGGAGGCTGAGAAGTCCAAGACTGAGGTGCGGTATATTTCATGTCTGGTGAGGGCCCAGTCTCCGCTAAGAAGACACCTGTGTACTTTGTCCTTACATAGCAGAAGTCACAAAAGGGCCATATAGGCTCCTTCAAGCCCACCATTCTGAAGGTGGAACCATCATGATCTAATCATATCCTATAGGCCCCACCTCTTAATACGATTGCATTGGGGATTAAATTTCAGAGGGACACAAAAATTGAAACCATAGTAGATTGTAAGATGATATTGTAGTCAAAAAAATGCCTCTTTTGATATAGAATAATGATTGTCAAAAAGACCAAAAGGTGGTAAATTTTATGTTATGTATATTTGACCACAGTAAAAAGTCGAGGAAAATAAGTGGAGATGATTCACAGAAAAGGACTTTTAAAAAATTTTAAAAACATGTAAAAAAATTTTTTTTCCATTCTACCCACGTAATGCCTAACGATGAAAATGAAGTCTTGGGTTTCTTTTTTTTTTTAGTTGAATACAAGATTACCAATAACCTTTTCAGTATTATTGCAGGACTAATTTTTTTAAAAGCAAGTTACAGCACATAAAATAACACTTTCACAGAAAGGGTAAATACATATGGCAGCTAAATTTATTACCTGGAGAACTAAAGTTATTTACGTCACATAGCTCTGTCATATAGTAGCAGAGTTTAGCCCAGAGTCCAGATGTTTTGACCCTTGCCAACCTGCCTGCTAAGTAAGGGGATGAGTCTTTTGGGCAAGCCATGAATTTTCTGAAACTATATAAATTGGGTTTTTTTCCCCTTTAATCCTTGTCTTATATCTAAAGAACTTAGTACAAATAACATTGCTAAAGTGAATGCAAATTTTTCTAAATTTGTTCAAAATCTTTTATTTTTCCTTTTCAGAGCCCAAATGTCATTCAGAATTTGAAAATACTACTCATTCTGTCTTCAGGTCAGCCAAGTTTTACTTTCATCATCCAGTGCACCCATCAAGTGACCAAGATTTTTGCCATGAGTCTTTGGGGAAAAGTGTTTTTATGAGGCATTCTTGCAAAGATTTCTTTCAGCAGCATTCAGACAATCATAGAGAACCCACTTGTCTTCCTCCCTCTTATCAAAATGTGGATAAGACCAAGACGGATTATATGAGAATAAAGAACCTCAGCATCAATGTGAATTTGGGAAATAAAGAGATGACACATACTACTAAAAGTCAGGCTAGAGATCATCTAAAAAGTAAAAGACAAATTAATGATGCAAAAAGGGATCATGAGGTTTCCTCAGAGCCAACAACTCAGCACACTGCAAGTTTGAATGAACTCTGGAACAAGTATCAGGAGCGACATAGGCAACGGAAACCACCTGATGTTGGTGACAGGAAAGAACTGTCCTTGATAGAGCGACTTGATCGTTTGGCTAAACTTCTTCAGAATCCCATCACACATTCTCTCCAGGCCTCAGAAAGTACACAAGATGATAGCAGAGGGGAGCAAAACATTAAGGATTGGAGTGGTAAACAGAAAAGCAAGCTTCAGAAGCAGAAGCGGTATAAAAGCCTAGAGAAAGGCCATAAAAACATAAGTGATCTTAAAAGAAGCAATTTTCTTTCTCCTCAGCCAACTGGGAAGTCCAATCAGGTTAAGATTGAACAGGTTAAATTTGATAAATACATTCTAAGGAAACAGCCTGATTTTAATTATATCAGCAACACTTCTTCAGATTCTAGACCCTCAGAGGAAGTGAGCTGCTTACAGATACTCCCACCAATGTTCTTTCCACCACCCCTTCTCCTGTGGACTCAGATATATTAACCCAAACAGATAGAGAGGTGACTTGGCGTGAAAGGAGTAGCTCCATTTCCACCATTGACACTGCCCGATTGATCCAAGCTTTTGGCCATGAGAGAGTATGTTTATCACCCAGGCAAATTAAATTATATAGCAGCATCACCAACCAACAGAGGAGATACCTTGAGAAGCGTTGCAAGCACAACAAAAAAGCATTGAGTACAGGTCATCCACTAATGACTTCTGAGCACACCAGAAGGAGGCACATCCAGGTACATGGCTACAAATTCCATCTGGCAATGTGACTGCCTTTTTCATGGACTTTTTAATCTCTGCATACAGGTGAAAAAAAAAAGTCATTTGCCCTTTCCTCACTATAACATTTCTTACCAACGGAAAAGAGTGAGAAAGTGTAGTACAGTGCTATTGTGAGTTGTCATTCTTTTCATCAACACTCATTACCATTTACCCTCTGGATTAAGGGCTTTGCTGGTAGATACCTCAGAATCTGCAAACTTACACCCCAACAAGGGGAGTTTTGAGTTTAGAATGACCTCTGTTCTGAACAATATTGCCTGGGTTTTGTTTTGTTTATTCTTTCCTTCTGTGTTTCAAAAAATATTTGAGGTGCTTTTAAACACAAGTATACACACACACACACACACACACATATACACACACACAAATAATATGATTTCTTAAATATAAGTGAAGAATTGGGATGATAGAAAAATTGAAGCTGGGGTAAGCTACAACATGATTTTTAAAAAAATAAATGAAGAATTGAGTGATGGAAAGACAAGTTGAAACCAGAAGGGAGATAAAATATACCTGGTGGATGTGTTTGATTGAAGTTAGCTACCAGTTTGGCATTGTGTGCTAGTTATGCACATAGTTGCTACTGGAATTTTGTGATCAATTAGATTATGTAAAAGCAAATCAAATTTTCAAAAGCATAAATATTTCAGATACAAATATCTAAGAAAAAATTCCTCATCTGTCTTCATAAAGAAGGCATCACAATGTAAAAGAGCCCTCTACAACCTGCTTACAGTAGATTCCATAGCAATGGCTATAAGGCTGTTACGCATTCTTTAAATTAGGGAGTTAGTAAAGGAAGATCTCAAGGGGCACATCATTGCTTTACCTAAGAGTAAATATTTAAGAGTACCTCAAAGCCAAGCCAGTAGCTCATGCCTGTAATCCAAGCTATTTGGGAGGTAGAGATCAACGAAGATCGTGGTTTGAATCCAGCCTGCACAAAAAGTGAGACACCATCTGAACAATGAGTGGGTAGCATGTAACTGTCATCCCAGCTAAGCAAGGTAGTATAAATAGGATTACAGTCCAGGTCAGCCCAGGCAAAAGCTTGTGAGCCTGTCCCCAAAATAACGGAAGCAAAAAGGGAGTGATATTGCTCAAGTGGTAAAGCACCTGCCTAGTAGCTGTAAGACCCTGAGTTCAGCCCACAGTACCACACACACACAAAAAGTTACGTAGAAAAGTGCTGTCCAATGCTCCGTGCATTGGAATTTGGAAAGAAAAATATTAGAATTTATATTCATTTTGCTCAGTCTCAACATTTTAATTTTTGTGAGTGTAGTCATGGCATAATTTATAAATAAATTTTGACAGTTGTGCTAAAAATATTTTGTCAGTAGGGTTGCATAATCAAAAAAAATGACTACTGGCCTGAATGAAAGGAGTGCAAGATGTTCAACTTACCAGAAATTATTTCCATAATTGAGCTTTTTTGGGAGGTAGTGAATGATAGTAATTACATATATTAATGGTATGATTTTTTTAAGGAAGAATTGGGAATGACACATAAGGAAGATAAGGAAAAGGATCCAGATAGAAAGTTTGTGTGTACAGTAAAATGCACACATAAAATATGTACTTACGACTATTTTAAGTATACAATTCAATGGCATTGAATACATTCACAAGGTTTTAAAGCCATCACCTCAGAAGAAACTCCATACCTGTTAAACAGTGACTCCCTATTCTCCCCAGTAACCCCTAATCTACTTTATGTCTCTGTGGAACCATATAATATGTGACATTTTTGTCAGACTTCTTTTATGTTAGCATAATGTTTTTAAGCTTCATCCATGTCATAGCACATATCAGTACTTCATATTTTTTATGGGGAATAATACGCCATTGCATATATAGAAAACGAATATGGATAAGGATAATGTAAGGATAAACTAATATATATTTATTATGTATATATAATATTTATCGTGTATTTATATATATAATATGTAATATATATTTATTACATATTGTTTATCCTTTCATCCATTGGAGGACAGTTGGATTATTTTCACATTTGGCTATTAGGAATTCAGCAGAACACTGAAAGTTATGAACAAGCAGAAGTGAAAATGCTACAAAGTTCTCCCATCTTCTGTAGGTGAAGTTTGTCCTGGTTAAGTGTTTGCCTGGTTTCTGTAAACCTTTGACTATCTTTCATAGTCCTGATAAAGTTTATTTTGATGGGCTTTGCCAGGTTGTTTGGTGTTTCTAGGGAAAAGATTGCCCCCCACCTTAGGTCTCTACTCCCACTATATTTGCTGAGTCAAAGTTTTGTGTCTCTCCCACAATATTTACTATTTCTCTTTCACATGTCTGCATTATAACACTTTCTTAAAACTCTTCTTCCTGCACGAGATCCTGTAAGAGGGTGCAAATTCTCCTAATTTCTTCAGCCTTCAAGTGTATCATACTGTCTCCAGTATACACTTTCCCTCAACCACGAAATCCTGTCTTCCAGCTTTCTTTCTGGTGTCTGATTGTATCTCCTCTAGGTAATTTAGGGATGTGTCTCTTGTGTTCTTGCAGTTACCAGTCCTCTGATCTCTAGTTTCTGTTGACTTTAACAAAAGCTATGAACTTGTAAGGGTGTTTTTGGTGTTGCCATTATAAGAATAGGAACAGTGCTTTATCTAACTCTAGACTATCAAGTGGAAACCAGAGGTATATATCTAGTATATTACTGTCACTACTTTTTATCATTTTAATGTATTGTGATTAGAGATTATACTCAATTCTGTTTCTGTCTTAAGGATACATAGAGGCTTTCTTTGTGGCTTAATATATAAAAAAGTTTTCCATGAGTATTATGTACAAGATAGAGTTTCCACATAGAGTATGACATTCTACTTACATCTATTAAATCAACTTTATTAATTATATTTTCCTGAATATTGACTTCCTTGCTCTGTTAAGGAGTTCAAAAAGTAAATTTAAAGGTTAATTCTTCTTTTAGTAATTGAAAGTTTTATATTTTTAGGTCTGGTACATAAATATTAATGACACTTTACTCGCTGCGAATTGTGTCATAAATTGTATAAAATAACTTTTATCTTCCGTTTTTAATATTTTTGCCTGTGATCCTCTTTTACCCAATGTAATTTTTCCTGGGGGAATTTTTTTTTTTTTTTGGCATTTGCAAAATTGCTCTTTCCACATCCTTTTGCTTCTAGCTTCTCTGAGTTGCTTTGCTCCAGTGTAAGTAGCATCTAGTCAAATCTTTTTTCCTCCAACTTGAAGATCTTTCTTTTAAAGCATATTTATTCCATGTAAATTCATTATTACAATATTATATTTACTTTATCACCTATTTTTTTCCATTTTGGTGTGTCTATTAAGTAAATGTTTATTAAACTAAATTCTATTTCACACTTTGGGAGGGGGAAGGAGGGTGTTTGTTTTGTTGTTTTGAGGTGGGATCTCACTATGTTGCCCAGCTGGCCTCGAACACCTGCGCTAAAGTGAACTTCCTGCCTCAGCCTCCTGAGTGTGAATATTTTTATTATAGTAAATAAATACACATAACATAAAATTTATCATCTTAATCATTCTTGAGTCAGTAATGTTAAACATATTCACATTGTTGTAAGACTGATCTCCAGAACTTTTTCATCTTGAAAATCTGAAGTTCTATACTCATTGAGCAATAACTTTCCTTTTCACTCTCAACCTAGCCCCTGGTAACCACCAGGTAACCACCAGTCTACTTTTTGTTTCTATGAATTTGACTGTTTTGGATACTTGGTATGCATGGAATCATGCAGTATTTGTCTTTTTGTGACTGAATGGACTTATTTCACTTGTCCAAAAAAGTTCCATCCATGTTACAGATTTCCTTCCCTTAAAAGTCTGAGTGTTCCATTGTATGTATATACCATCTTTTGTTTATTTATACATTGATGGACATTTGGAGTTGCTCCATCTCTTTTCTGTTGTGAATAGTCTGCTGTGAGTATGGTTATATAAATTTGTTTTGAGACCTTTCTTTCATTTCTTTTGGATCTATACCAAGAAGAGAAGTTGATGGATTTAGAGTGGTTCTATTTTTAACTTTTTGAGGACCGTCAGTACTGTTCTCCATAGTAGCAGTTGTACCATTTTACAATGCCACCAACACTTGTTATTTCGTCTTTTTATAATAACCATTCTGATGGATATGAGGTGACAGCACATTGTTGTTTTGAGTTGCATTTCTCTGATGATTTGCTAGGGCGTACTTTCATGTTTGGCCACTTGTATATAACTGTTGGAAAATTATTCAAGTCCTTTGCCCATTTTTAACCAGGTTATTTGATTTTTTTGTTGTAAGACTTTTTTTTATATATTCTGGATAGTATCTCCTTATCAGGTACATGATTTTCAGTCATTCTCTTCCATTCCATAAGTGGCCTTCTCACGCTGATGATTATATCCCCCCCCCTGCCCCGATGTACAAGTTTTTAAGTTTGATGTCCCATTTGTCTATTTTTATTTTTGTTGTCTGTGTTTTTGGTGTCATATCCAAGAAATTATTGCCAGTTTCTATGTCATGAAGAATTTTTCCCTGTTTTCTTTTAATAGTTTTATGCTTTTAGGTCTTATGTTTAGGTCTTTAAGTCAATTTTCAGTTAGTTTTTGTATATGATGTATGATGAAGGTCCAACTTGATTCTTTTGCATGTGGCTATTATTCAGTTATCTCATTATTATTGAAAAGACTTCTTTCTCCCATGGAGTGGTCTTTGACAGCCTTGTCAAAAGTCATTTGATTGTATATGTAAGGCTTTTGTTGGTCTATTTGTCTGCCTTTATGCTAGTATCATACTGTTCTAATTACTGTGCCCTTGTAATATTTTGTGAAGTCAGGAAGTGTGAGTCCTCAAACTCTGTTCTTATCTTTTGATTTGTTTTGGCTGTTGAGAATTTCTTAAATGTTTTTGAGCATGGTTCAAAGTGATAGAGTGCCTGCCTAA